TTTTTCACACAAAAAATTTTTTCAAACAAAAAATCTTTTTCTCAAACAAAAGTATCTGTTTCTAGGCAAAAAAAGTTTTTTCGAACAAAACGTTTTTTTTATCAATACGGCAAGACTCCATGACGTACGACATGTTCATCTAGAAATAAAAAAATTAAAAAAATGATTGAAAGAAAGAAAACCTTACGTTCCAGTTTACGTAATTCTTCTTCAATGTGATCCAATCTTATTGCCAATGTAGTAACCTGGTCTAAATAAATCATCCATTGTGCCTTATTGTCGACAGTTGAATAGTTATATAATGCTTCACGAGCTTCATCCAGTTGTCCTCTGGTGTCGATTTCTTGATCTTTTATTTGTAGAAGCTAAAACCGAAAAACAATTATTAAATTTCTCTTAGTCAAGTATAGAAAATAAAAAGACTACCAATTATTCTAACGAGCAAAGGCGCTTGAAAACAACTGCCTCACAATATTTTCTAAACAGTAGACAACAAACCTGTTCGATGAATAAATCAATAGCCATTGTTAATGCTTTTAAATTAAACTCTGACATTTCATCTATCATCGTTCTTTTTATAGCTTCAATTCTATCTTTGTTTTGTATGTTCAGTTAATTTTTTTGTTTATGAACATCCAATATAAAAAAACAATAGTGCTCATTCTCGACGAGGAAAAAAAACATATCAACTTACGATATGCCGACGAATATGACCTCCTTTTTTTGAAAAATCGGCAATAGACTCATACAGATGAGGAAACAAAGACATTTCTAAAGAGTATTCACAATAATTAAACATAAATAACACCAATTTAAATACTTAGAATTATATCGATAATTATACTACCAGCAATCAAATTCGATAGGAGCACGAATAACCATAGCTTTCGTTTGGTTTTGACTGGAGGGGGGAAGATTCAAGGGAGAAAGTCTCCCAAAGCTAGGGAGAAATGGCTCTTTGAATTAGGTTTTTACAGTAAAATGCGTTCTCGGTTGAAACTTGCAGGCCATTTGATTAACGGGGGAGGGGGAGGGCAAGAGAACTGGGGATTTCTCCCCACCCCCTCCTCATAAAATTTTCTCTTCCGTTATGGTGTTCTGCTAAGAAATTTTCTTGACAAGCACTTAGCGAATTATAATATCTTAGTGAACCGAATGAACTATGCAAAACGAAACCATCTATTTTCTCTGATAAGGGACCGTTCTGAACTGCCTTATCACTTTTGACTTAGAACTCTGCATAAGTTAGACCTCATTGATGTATGAAAAACACATATGAAGAAAATACCTTAAGTCTTATGTCCAGACTCATAGGCATTTTACTGCAATTTTAGCCTATCCCTTGAGAAAATTCTTGCTATTTCCGTATCCAATTCTTAACGGATCTAATCAAGATTCTTCAAAAATTTCCTCTCGTTTCCTGAGGAAATGACTAGATCCTAAAAGAAGTATGTAGCTACGGAATTTCAAGATCCTCACATAAATCGAAACAGAATTCAATGAAGATTCTTAGCAGAAGCATGATGTGGTTGTGGGTGTGAATACGGGTTCATCTTATGTTAACTAACAGTCGCAGTCACTAATACACCCTTCTGTTGGATTCTTGTTGAGATCCTCCTCTGATTCAGTTAAAATAGTTGACTGGATTCTTGTACAAG